ATAGCCACCATTGCAATCCCTTCTCCTCTATTCTCCTCTCAGGATCTTGGACATGCACGCACACATGCCTAGTGTCAGTTCAAGCCACCAGGTCTGGGACTCAAACCGCAGTTGACTACTATTGGAGTCTAGCGACATAGCCATTATGCCAACTGCTGGTCCCAGACATTGGGTTTTTATGTGATACTTTCTGTGATTGCCCCCACACCCCTCCTCCACGTTAGGTCTTTTGGTTTGTTTTTTTGAGAGAGACTTTTGCTATAGGGTGTGTGTGCTTGCCAGAGAGACAGAGACAGAGAGACAGAAAGCAAGAAATCACCCCCCGGGAGGGATGGCCACACTGCAATCCCTTCTCCTCCATTCTCCTCTCAGGATTTTGGCATTTATGCACATGCGCCCACCATGAGTTTTAAGCTGCCAGATCCAAGACTTGAACCAAGGTCAACTACATGGGAGTCCAGCGACGTAACCACCACGCCATCTGTTGGTCTCCCATGTTGTGTTTTTAAAGGCATAAAAACTAGGTTGAAGTTTATAAGCTTTTATTCCCCTTATGACCAACTATAATTGTATCTTTGCATGAGAGTAATAGAACAAATTCATTTTTATTTTACTCCAGAATTAAATTCCAGTTGTTTTGAAGTTAATATATATATATATATATATGTTTTGCTATAGGCTTTAAAAGATTTCTGTGATTCGTATGGTTTAGTTTGCAATAAACCAACAGTTTGGGTTCTCCACTATCTGAACACATCTGGTGCGAGCTGTGAGAGTAGAGTTATTGGAGTGTATGCCACAAAGACTGATGGAACAGATGCTATTGATAAGCAGCTGGGAGGAAGAATTCACAGTAAAAGCATTTTTAAAAGGTACGTCCACATTTAAATGTGAAAAGGAACAAAACAAGTTTTGATCTCTTCTAAGAGGTGTTATTGAATGGAATATTGTGTTCTGCTCAATTGGAAAATACCCTCCGCACCTGTCAGTAGACAGAGTGAGTCCTGGTAGCTGTTGAGAGAGACCTGCCTCATGAGCGATTATAATTCAGACCATTTCCCATATGTGTAAGGTACAGGTCATCTGTGTGGTCTAGTTAAGTGGTTCTCAATTGAGAGAGTCACGTCACATGCCTGGTGACTCTCCTAGACTATATTCAGGGGACAGAAGCACTGGCCCAAAGTCAGCAAGCTGCTAAGAGACCCAGGGCCAAGCACCTTGGTATCCTCTTCTGAGAAATGAGGAAGGAATTCCCAGGTGCCTGCCAGTGTTAGAATTCCTTGTTTACATATGTTAATTTATTATGAGTTATTCTCTTTATATTTTTCATGTAATCTTGTTTTTAAAAAGAATTTTTTTATGTAACTTTATTTATTAATTTTAATTTGACTAGAGAGGAACAGAGTGAGAGAGAGAGGGAAAGTGAGAAAGCAAGCCGCCAGGTCCACGACTTGAACTGCTATCAGCCATGTGTGAGTCCAGTGCCATTAACCACCATGCCACCTGCTGGTATAATCTTTTTTATACTGGTCAATTCACTTAGCAACCTGGTGTTTTGTGTTTGTTTGTTTGTTTGTTTTTGTTTTTTTGGTTTTTTTTTAGTATTGTGGGAGATGGATTGGGTCACATATTAGCAACTAATATATGACCATTTAAACTTACTTTTTTAGATGATCAAATGTGGCATCAGCTGCTGAATTCTTTACAGGATACTTCTATGTAAGATAATAAGCACCTAGCATAATGCTAGAAACTTTTAATCAAAGTTGAATCTTTATTAACTTTATGGGAGATAGCTGCGTTTAAAAAAACTTGATTTTGAAGATGTATTGATCTGTCTCCCTGGCCTATATTATGGAATTAACAATACTATTTTATGATAAAATGAGACCAAACATAGGTTAGTGTATGACATATGTATGATGTATTTTATATACATATATATATACACATTTATCAGTGCATATGTGTGTCACAGAGCAACTCCTCAATGCCTATGTATTTTTTGTAACGAACAAGCATTCATATGTCTATTAGCTGTGTATATGAACGCATACCCAGGCAGTATATTTTCATTACGTTTTGCAATATTTGTAGAGAGGCGGGAAATAATGTGCAGTACATTTGGAGCTATTACTCGGTAGCGGAGCTGAAGAAAATGATGGATGCCTTTGATGCTTGGGAAGGAAAAGGTACAGTGCAATTCCTTTACATCATGGCAGCTGGTGGACTTTTCTCATAAGACAACGTAGGCTCAAGTACTGCATTTTTGTTTGGTTGGTTTTTTGTTTTGTTTTGTTTTGGAGGATATCTAGGTTTTTGTCACCTCCTGGTAATTTTGAGGCCATTTACTTGTAATTATCTTTAAAGTCCATGATTTACTAGATATTACTAAAGGTTCATAATTCAGTAATCTCAAATATGCTTCTGTTACTTGTACTGGTTTAGTTCAATTAAGTAAGAATTTATTTAGCACCTACCATGTACCTGGCATTAGAAGTATACTTCTAGGGAACCAGCAGTTAGCGTAATGGCTATGTCGCTGGACTCCCACGTAGTCAACCACGGTTCACGTCCCAGACCCGGTGACTTAAAACTCACGCCGGGCGCGTGTGCATGCGTGCCCAAGATCCCGAGAAGAGAATGGAGGAGAAGGGATTGCGGCGTGACCATCCCCCTGGGGGGTGATTTCTCGCTTTCTGTCTCTCTGTCTCTGTCTGTCTGGTGAGCACACGCGCCCTATAGTGAAAACCTCTCCAAAAAAAAAAAAGAAATATACTTCTATATCAAGTGTAAAATATATAATCAAGCCAGAGAAGAGAAAATGAAAATAATTCTAGAGAAGATGTCTCAAGAGCCCCTGTGAAACAATGAAAATAACCTTTAAATGACTACTTTGAAAATTAACAAACCTTGGGACCAGCAGTTAGCGTAATGGCTATATCGCTGGACTCCCACGTAGTCGATCGTGGTTCGCATCCCAGACCCTGTGGCTTAAAACTCACGCCGGGCGCATGTGTGTGCGTGCCCAAGATCCCGAGAGGAGAATGGAGGAGAAGGGATTGCAGTGTGGCCATCCCCCTTGGGGGGGGTGATTTCTTGTTTTCTGTCTCTCTGTCTCTGTCTTTCTGGCGAGCGCACGCACCCTATGGCAAAAACCTCTCCAAAAAAAAAAGAAAATTAACCATTTTTATTAAATTGCTCAGTAAGAGGTGACACAATGCTGTTTAATCTCCACTGTGATAAGTGGTTTACATTTAGTATCTCTCATTCCTAAACAACCCTGTATGCTATTTATCATTCCTGTTTTATCATTTTGTTGGTTTGTTTGTTAATTTGGTCGAGGGTATATGCACTTGCCAGAGAGAGACAGAGACAATGAGAGAGGGAGAAGGAGAAAGCATACCCCCAGTTGGGTGTGGTCATGCCATAATCCCTTCTTTACCATTTTTCTATCCTCTTGGGATTTGGGGCACTCATGCACACATGCCCAGCATGTTTTTCAAGCTGCGGGGCTTGGGATTTGAACTGCATTATCAGTCATGTGAGATCTGGCTTCCTTGACCACCAGGCGTGGGTTGCCCTGTTATTCCTAGTTCATAGGTAAGGAAACTGACTCTCAGGAAGTGCATGCTACTTAAGGATTATGTGTTCTATGCCTAAGTTTTTTTCTCAATTAGCATGCATATATTTAATATCCGCTAGGGATAAAGCATGATAATCAGTCCTAAACTTGGATCCAAAGATCAATAAGATCATCTCAGTCCTCAAATTGTCTTCAAAGCCTGTAGAGACAGTGTGCCACTCACATAAGAATGAAGAGAGGAAGAGACTTTAAAAAACTCTGTATCAGCGGCTTCTCTTTCATAGGGAGTGTTGGTACCAGCCCTTTTTCCCTTCTTCAACTTTGCCCTCATCACTTTTCCTTCTGTTTGCCTTGCATTGATCTCCAGCAGGCAGGATGGCATCTTTAAGCTTATTACTTTAGATGTCATGTACTTTGAGACACTTACGCTCGAGTTCACAAACAAATCCCCATGGCGTTTTCTGTGGCTCTTTTGTGCCTCTAGACTGGCAGGATGCCCAGGAGGCTTCGAGAGGGCCCTGGCTTCACTTCTTTCTCCACTAACTTAGGAAGCTACAGTGGAAAACTGGGATCCCTAACTTTACAAAGCCTGCTACTGATTTTAGCTTTTTCAAAAGTGTGTATGAAGCATCATTGTTATTTTAACAAACTCTGGAAGGCCCGTAGATATCCAGAAGACAGGAAGCAGAAGTAAGAGCAAAAATGGCTGGGAGGGAGAAGACAGAGTTACTGTTATTTGTAGGATAATATCTTTTTAGAAAACTGGAAAGAATCACTTAAAATGATGAGTTTAGTAGGTTAAACTAGTGAGGTACAATATAAATATACAAAGAATAAGCAGGATAAATCAATTAGAAGTTTAGGGAGAAATCCCATTCACAATAGCAATACATCAAGCTTAAAATATCTAAGTCTGCCCTTGGGTCTTTTATGAAAACTGCTAAATGTATTTATCCACCCTCCCATTCCATCCATCCATCCATCCATCCATCCATCCATCCACCTATCTATCCATCTATCATTCAACCATAAAAAAAGACCTGAGTATAATGACGAGACACACCATGGTCCTTAATGGGAAATATGAATATTATAAAGATATCAGTTTTGAGAGGATTAAATTGTAGTTTAACACAATTCCTACCAAATTATAAAATTGTCAACTTTTTGGGAATATTGAGGAATTGATTCTAAAATTCCTCTGAAAGAATAAACAGGCAAAATAACCAAGAACATTTTGGGAAGTAGAAGTAATTAGGTGGATGAGTCTAATGGTACTTGGTGGTAAAACATTCTCTAGATCTATAATAATAAAAGCCATGTTTTTCTGGTTTACGAATAGAACAGAGATTAGTCTGGCCCTGTAGCTTAGTGGTTAAGGGAGGCAGATACTACATGGCCAACAGTGGTTCGAATTCCAGAATTGGCAGCTTGAAAACACACTGGGCACATGTGTATATGCCTAAAATACCCACAGAATGGAGATAGGGAGGGGAAGAGGTTATGGCATAACCATGCTCCATTTGGAAGTGCTTTCTCCCTTTGTCTCTATCTCTGTCTTTCTCTGGCAAGTGCACATGCCCTCTGGCAATTAAAAAAAAAAGAATAGAACATAGATCAAGAGATACTCCAATAAAATTAGAAGGATAAAAATGCTATTTATTAGGGTCAGCAGGTGATACGGTGGTTAAGGTGCTGGATCCCACATGGCTGACCCCAACATTTGAGTCCTGGACCTGGTGACTTGAAAATCAGCCTGGATGCAAATGTATGCATGCCCAAAATCACAAGAGGAAAGTGGAACGGAAGGGATTGTGATGTGGTCATCCCCCCAGGAGAGTAAATTCTCACTTTCCTTCCTTATGACTCTGTCTCTCCCATGAGCGTCTGTGCCCTATAACAATACAGTTTTAAAAAAATGCTTTGTAATAAAAAGGTACTAAATACCTGTGGGAAAAGTATAGATTATTTGACAAGCAATTGAGAAATATGCTTGTGAGGAAAAATAAAACTCTAACTTTGGAACATTTTATCAAAGTAGTCCCAGGTAGACTCATGAATGAAAAAAGAAACTATAATAAACAAGAAGAAAATTTAAGCAAAGAATCGATTTCTTAATAAACTTAAAATTTTTTTTATAAACTTAAAAGAAATCATAAAGCCAAAGATTGATAAATTTGGTTCCATGATGTTTAAAATATTAAGAACTTTAAAACATGAAAATTATAAATGAACTTAAAAGACTAATAAACAACAGGATAAAAATGTAGACTATCCTTAATATGGAGAGTTTATTTAAATTGATTAGAAAATCAGCTTGACTCCTACTATAAAAAATGTGCAGGCCCCACCGCTGTGTACTAGACACTGCTGCTGAGTGACACTACATGAGAGGCCCAGATTTGATTCTTGGCCCACCCTGAAAAACTGAGCACAGCAGCACATGCCTATAGTCTTAGCTGCTCAGGAGGCTGCGGCAGGAGGATTATATGCTTATGGCCAGCGTGGACAGCATGGTGAGACCCTGTCTAAAAAGAGCCAAGTGTAGTAGTAATGTGCTGTGGCCCAGCTATTTAGGAGTCTGAGGCAGGAGGATCGTGGCACAGTGAAACCATGTCTAAAGGGCCACACATATGCACAAATACACCTCCACTCTCACCTCCAGAAAGTTAAGATTTGTGACCACAGAATTCCAAGAAAAAGAAATAAATGTGTTCAGGAGGTTCAGTCACAGAAGAGATTACAGTAATTATTTTTGCCAATAAATATATTGGTGAAATACATATTAAATGAGAACTATACCAGATTAGTAAAAGTCTTTCATATATTCCTGTCAAAAGTAAATATTGATAAAACTCTTTTGGAGAATAATTTATCAGGTCACATCAATAACATTGAAATTGTTCATATTCTTTTTTTTTTTCTTTTTTTTTTTAAGAAACTTTTGTGGGGCCAGCAGGTGGCATGGAGGTTAAGGTGCTAGATTTCCACGTGGCCAACCATGGTTCAAGTCCAAGACTGATGGCTTGCTTTCTCTTTTTGTTACTCTTCTCTTTCTGTTTTTCTCTAGTGAGTGCATATGCCCTATAGCAAATTAAAATAACAGTAAAAAATAAAAATAAATAATTTTTTTCTTTAAAAAAAGAGAGATTTTTGCTAGAGGGCACGTGCACTCACCAGAGAGACAGAAAGGGAGAATTCACCGCCCCCCCCCCCCCCCCCCCCCCCCCTCTCCCAGCCGAGACTGGTCACATCCCGGCGGGGGATAGCCACGCTGCAATCTCTTTTCCTCCATTCTCCTCTCAGGATTTGGGGCATGTACTCACATGATGTGTTTCAAGCCACCAGGTCCAGACACAAACTGCGGTCGACCACGTGAGAGTCCAGAGCCTTAACCACTATACCACCTGCTGGCCTTGAAATTGCTCATTTTCTTTAACCCTGTAAGTGTACTTCTAGGAATCTACTTTAATGACATAAATGAATGCAGGCAAAGGCTTATGAAGCATTATTCACAATAGAGACAAAGTAAAAATCTAAATGTCTAATGATAGGACATTAATACATCCATGGGGTGGAATATAATAAAATTTTAAAAATTATTCCAAGTAACTTTTTACATAGATAAATGCCCATGATTAAAAGCCAGAAACAAAATTAAATATAGTGTTTTTTATTATGCATATATCATATAAATAGAAAAAAGATTGGAATAAAATATATGTACATCCTCAGCCATGGTTTTAGACTAAGAGTAAATTTGATTTTTTTAATTACTTATTTAGTTATTTAAAAAAAATTGAGGGGACCAGCAGATGGTGTAATGGCTGTGTCGCTGGACTCCCATGTAGTCAACTGTGGTTCGAGTCCCAGACCCAGTGGCTTGAACTCACAGTGGGAACGTGTGCATGTGTGCCTAAGATCCCGAGAGGAAAATGGAGGAGAAGGGATTGCAGCCATCCCCCCAGGGGGTGATTTCTTGCTTTCTGTCTCTGGTGAGTGTATGCGCCCTATAGAAAAAAAAAAAAAAAGAAAAAAGAAAAGAAAAGAAACCTCTCCAAAAAAATTTTTAAATTATTTATTTAATTTTATTTACTTATTATTATAATTATTATTTAATTTGCTATAGGGCATGTGTGCCCACCAGAGAAAGAGAGAGAGAGAAAGTGAGGAAGTTAAGCTGCCAAGTCTGAAACTTGAACTGTGGTCAGCCATATTGGAGTTCAGCACTTTAGCCACCATACTATTTGCAGGCCCCATAATTTTTTATTTTTTAATATATACTTTTACGTATTTTTCAGGTTTTGTATAATGAATATGAATTTTTTTAGAGGTTTTTGCTATAGGGCGCATATGTTCGCTAGGAAGACAGCGGGAGACAGAGAGACAGAAAGCGAGAAATCACCCCCCTCCCTGGGGAATGGCCATGCTCCAATCCCTTCTCCTCCATTCTCCTCCTGGGATCTTGGGCACACATGCACCCGTGCCTGGCATGAGTTTAAGCCACCGGGTCCGGGACTTGAACCGTGGTCGACTACATGGGAGTCCAGCAACATAGCCTTAATGCCAGCTGCTGGTCCCAGAGTATGCATTATTTTACAGGTAGGAAAAATGAAAGTTATTTAAACAACTCGTGATGATATATTCATACAATGGAATACTACTCAGCAATAAAAGAAACATTGATACAGACATCAGAATGGATAGAATGCAAAGAATTTAGATGCAAAGGGCTACGCAGCATGTGGTTCATTCACACAAAATTCTTGAAAAGGCAAAACAAGAGAATGGAAAGGGGAGCACTGACTGCAGAAGAGTACAAAAGAACTTTCTGGAGTGATAGAAATGTTCTCGATTGTGGCTATATGGGTATATGACCTTATACATTGTCAAAGCTCATTGAAATGCATACCTAAAAAGGATGAATTTTATTTTATTCAAATTATATCTTTTTTCTTTTTTTTTAGAGAGAGATTTTGGGTATAGGGCATGTGTGCTCGCCAGAGAGACAGAAAGGCAAAGAGTGACAGGAAGAAATCACTCTCCAGATGGGCTGGCCATGCTGCAGTCCCTTCTTCTTTCGGGATCTTGGGTGTGCACACATATGCACCTGGTGTGAGGCTTAAGCCATCAGGTCTGGGACTCGAACCGGAGTCCAGCAAAGTAACCATTATGCCAAATTATATCTTATTCAAATTATATCTTAATCTGATTTTTTTTTTTTTTGAGAGAGATTTTCGCTATAGGGCGCGTGCGCTCGCCAGACAGACAGAGAGAGACATAGAGACAGAAAGCGAGAAATCACCCCCCCAGGGGGGATGGTCACGCCGCAATCCCTTCTCCTCCATTCTCCTCTCGGGATCATGGGCACGCACGCACACGCGCCCGGCGTGAGTTTTAAGCCACCGGGTCCGGGACGCGAACCGCGGTTGACTACGTGGGACTCCAGCGACATAGCCATTACGCTAACTGCTGGTTCCCTTAATCTGATTTTTTTTTAAAGAAAAACTTAATGGGCAAGATTTAGGAATATATTTGTAGCCTATAGCAGTTTTGGAGCATGACCGAACAGTTCAAAAATGTTATTGTCTTAAAATGAGGTTCATGGAGTTGAGTTATCATGTGTATCTATTATATATAATTATATGCCAGGTTTGTTATTGTCAGAACTTTAATGATAAAAAGAAGACACTGAATTCATTCTTGGGACTTACTCAGTTATGCTTCTTTTTTTCCTAACTGATGTGCAATTTTTAGCTAGCATCTTTATTTATTTATTTATTTATTTATTTATTTATTTATTTATTTATTTATTTATAGGGTACGTGCACTCTCCAGAGAGAGACAAAGAGAGGAAAAGTCAATCTGACATGTTTTTCAGGCTGCCAGGGCCAGGATTTGAACTCTGGTTGGCCATGTGGGATCCAGCTCTCTAAGCACAAGGCCTGACCTGTGCTATAGGACCAGACTTCAACATCAATTTGAAAACCTTTTTTAAAATGGCTGTTCTTTTAAAATTGAGATGAAATTTATGTAACTAGAATTAATGAGCTTAAAGCATCCATCTGAGTGGCTTTTCATGCCTTTGCAAGTTGTGCAGCTGTTATCTCCATCTAATTCCAAAACATTTTCCTCTCCCCGAAAGGAACCCTGTACCCATTAAGCAGTTCTTCTCTATTCCATTCTCTCTTGCAGCTACCTATCTGCTTTCTATTTCAATGGATTGACCTACTCTGGATATTTCTTTCATATGAGTGGAGTGATACCATACATGATCTTTTATGTCGGGTTTCTTTTAATTAGCATACTGTTTTTTTGAGGCTCGCAGAATACATTTTTAGCTTTCAATCAGAAGCACATCAGATTTAAAATTAAAATGACTTTGACAGGGATCTGGGCCTAACACCTTAACTCATAATATTCTTGTTTGAAAAGGTGCTTTTAGGGTAGTGATATCACATGTTGTCAGTGGTTGTCATGTATAGAGTGGTTCACAAATTCATCCAATTTGAAGGTTAAAGCAACCCAATGAAATAGGGCACGTTTAACACAAGCTCCACTGTATGTATGGTACTGATGCTGCTACCAACACTATAGCTGACATTAAAGGCACCTGAAATTTATTAGTCTGTGCTAGACCCTGTTCTGAGTGCTTTGTATTTATTAAGTCATTTAATCATCTCAACGGTCCTGTGAGATACATACTATTATTGTCATCATTTCATAGATGAGAACATTTAGGGTCAGAAAAGAAACTTTTTCGGAGTTATATGGTTAATGAACGGGAGTAGTAGTCCTGGCCAGAGCCTGTGCCCTTTCCCAGCACACAGTCAGCTGCCCTGGGCACGCATATGACCTGCTGAGAGTTCGCAGCTAATCAGTGGCACATGGGGAACTGGGCCAGCTCTTCTTAGATCCCAGTCATGAGCTATGCCCTTCTCCTGTCTGGCTCTTTGTGAGTTCTTCCTGTTCATGCTGTGTACATCCTCCATCTGCTGAGGCATGAACCCCAAAGTATTTTTTTTTGAGAGATTTTTGTTATAGGGTACATGTGCTCACTGGAGAGACAGAGAGAGAGAAAGTGAGAAATCACCCCCAGAGGGGATGGCCCCATCACAGTCTCTTCTCCTCCATTCTCTTCTCAGGATTTCGGGCATACATGCTCAGGTGCCCTGTGTGATTTTCAAGATGGTGAGTCTGGGACTCAAACTGCAGTTGACCATTTGGGAGTCCAGTGCCTTAACTGCTATGCCACCTGCTGGCCCCACCCCAAAGTCTTTTTGACTGGACTTATATAAAAGTGTTGCTCACTATTTTCAGTGGACAGTGGCTCTCTTAATTACATCTTTTTATCTTTCAGGTGTTAGCTACTGGAGGGTGCCTCATGAGTTGATAGAGTGTTGGACTCTGGAAGAGCGACCATTACTTGGAAATCTGCGACATATGGCCCCAATTCGGAAGAGGTTCTCTGTGCATTTTTTAAAAGTCTATCCATTCATTTCTTTCATGACAGAGAAAGAGACTTGGAGACAGCCACCACAACAGGGCTTCCACACTACAGCCATCCCTAGGCCCAGATGGCGCAAATCACAGGCAGGCATGCTTGTCGGCTTACTCAGGGAGGTCCCAGGACCTGAACCCAGGACCTTTGCCATGTGGGTCCAGTTGTATTACCACTATACCACCACTTGGCTCCTTGACATATTTTTCAATCTGTGGCTGATATTTTTATTGCATTTATGAATGGGAAATAAATAATAGTTCTTGATCTTACTAAGCTCATTGATCACCTAGATGAATATTTTGCCTTACCATCAAAATATAGATCTCAATAAATACAAAGTTACCAAAACTATATAAAGAGTCGGGGAGTAATGGCTATGTTGCTGGACTCCCACGTAGTCGACTGCGGTTTGCGTCTCGGACCCGGTGGCTTAAATCTCACGCCGGGCGCGTGTGCGTGCATGCCCAAGATCCCCAGAGGAGAATGGAGGAGAAGGGATTGCGGCGTGACCATCCCCCCTGGGGGGTGATTTCTCGCTTTCTGTCTCTATGTCTCTGTCTGTCTGGCGAGCGCACGCGCCCTATAGCGAAAACCTCTCCAAAAAAAAAGAGTGGGGGTGATTTTCCAAAATGGGTGAGTAGTTATGCTCTTATTAGGAGCATGATTTTAAAAGTGCTAGGGGACACAGTGAGAATGCTGCGATATTTTTCCTCCACAAAAGTAAAATCCAGGGCTTTATTGGCAAGAGTAAAAAAAATCTATTAGGACTTAATACTTGAATTTCCCAGGGCTTATTTTGAATTCCTTTCTCTCTCCTACTGCCACAAATATCATTTTTATTTAATGTTATTTTCATGTATTTCATGAAATTATTAGCACATCTGTGCCTTTCACTGTTTTTAAATACACTTAAAATCATATTTTGTTTTTAGTGTCTAGGTTTTATTTATGGCCTTCAGATGTTCTGATTTTTTTATCACCAGTTCTAGAATTTGATTCATTACCCCTATGGACTATCAGCCTACTTTCTTTTCTCCCTAACTTTTACTGAAATTCAGAGAAGCTTCTTCAATTTTCAGTAGTTTATCATCTCTTATCAAAGCAGATATTATTTCTTAAAGATCATAATTTTATTATTATTTATTTTGCCCATTTATTTATTTGAACTTACAGTTAGCAAATATTATTTGGGTAAAGATCAGTGGTTGTTAACTCGGAGTGATTTTGCCTTTTGGGATATTTGACAATATATGGAGATGTTTTTCAGACACATTTTTTTATTTTACTTTTTTTGTCTTTTTGCATAGGATACATGTAATTGCCAGAGAAAGACAGAGAGCATGACAAAAAGAGGGAAAGTGAGAAATCACCCCCACAGGGGGGATGGCCACGCCACAGTCCTTTCTCATCCATTTCCTGGGATTTTGGGCATACACATATACATCCACAGCATGATTTCCAGACTGCTGGGTCCAGGACTCAAACTGCAGTCAGCTATATGGGAGTTCAGCATCTCTCTCTCTCTCTCTCTTTTTTTTTTTGAGAGGTTTTGCTATAGGGTGCATGCACAGAGAGACTGAGAGAGACAGAGAGACAGAAAGCAAGAAATCACCTCCCAGGGGAGATGGCCATGCTCCAATCCCTTCTCCATTCTCCTCTCGGGATCCTGGACAGGCACGCACATGTGCCCAGCGTGAGTTTAAACCACCAGGTCTGGGACTTGAACCATGGTCAACTACATGGGAGTCCAGTGACATAGCCATTACACCAACTGCTGGTCCCAGGAGCCAAGCATCTTAAGCACCATGCCACCTGCTGGCCACAGCACATTTGTTTGGAATGGAGGATGTTACTGACCTCTAGGGAGTAGCGGCCAGGGATGCTGCTCAACATTGTACCAGGCACAGAACAGCTCCCCCACAACTAAGAGGTATCTGACCATGATGGTAGAGTCCTTGGTGTGGGGCCTAGTGAAAAACAAAACAAAGCAGGCAGGGAGGTTTATGGAGACTCTTCCTCTGTGTTAGTTATCTTTCCTCTGAGATTTTGTGTAGCTTTTTTTTTTTTTTTAATTTCTCTATAAGATGTGTGTGTTTACCAGAGAGAGCTAGAGGGATGGGGGGTTGGGAAGCACTCCCCAGGGGGTATGGCCATATCATAGTGCCTTCCTCCGCAGTCTCCTCTTGGGATTTGGGGTATATATGTATATGCCCCACAAGTTTTTCAAGCCACCAAGTCTGAGACTCAAGCATGCAGTTAGCCATGTGAGATCCAGCCACCTTAATCACTATGGCAGCCGTGGTATCATTTCTGGCGCATCTACAGGGTAATGATAAGGATGACTGAGAAGCACTTATGAGGTTTGAGGAGCCATCCTACTCACCTGAGAAAATATTCAGTAGAGTTTTAGGGCTGAATACTTTGTGTTCATATTCTTTGCCACATGTGACAATTCTCAAGTAACAGTGCTATTATGACCCCATTTCTAAGAAGGGGAATCGACTTGTTACAATGCTGTGTGAGAGGAGTGGACATTACCCACTTGTTCAGGGTCTGGTTCTCAGGAAGTGAAGCTGCTGGAAGCAATGAAAGGAGCAGGCAGAGGTTAGACCATGGTAGCTGGCCAGTCTTAAGGACATTTTAAAAAAAATGTTCTCTTAGGGCTGGCAGGTGGTTTGGTGGTTAGGCACTGGACTTCCACATGGCTGACCATGGTTTGAGTCCTGGACCTGGTGGCTTGCTTTCTCACTTTCTCTCTCTCTCTGGTCAAGTTTTAAAAAGTAAATAACAATAAATACAAAATTAAACAAATATTTTTTAAAAAATCTTCTCTCTTGGGACCAGCAAGTGGTGTGGTTATTAAGGTGTTAGATCCCACACAGCTGACCCCACCATTCGAGTCCCAGACCTGGCAGTTTGAGAATCATGTCAGATGCATGTATGTATGTGCCCAAAATCCTGAAAGGAGAGTGGAGAAGAAGGGATTGCAGCATGGCCATCTCCCCCAACCCCGGGGGGTGATTTCTCATTTTCGCTGTCTCTCTAGCAAGCACATGTGCCCTATGACAAACATCTAAGGGAAAAAAAAATAGTTCTTTTTCCCTAGACTTTTTATACTGAATGGTAAATCAGATCAAGAATCCTTGGAGGGTTTGTCTAATACTTCTCAAAGCATCTAATCACCTGTGGGTTTGACTGTTGCAGCAGTCCCAAAATGTGTTTCCCAGGATGCCATTGTCCTGGCTGTCACAGGGTTCATTGCAGGATGCCTGGAGAATACAGAGCTGACAACCTTCAACGGGGGTCTCTTCAGTACAGGCCTTCTCAGAACATTTAACATGTTAGCATTGACGTTAGAGCTCCAAGAAGAAAATATGCAGCATTTCTCAAATTTATGTGACTATGAAACTCTTTTATTTTTAAATTAAATTTAATTTTTTTTTTGGAGAGGTTTTTGCCATAGGGTGCATGCGCTCGCCAGACAGAGAGAGAAAGAAAGACAGAAAGCGAGAAATCACCCCCCAAAGGGGATGGCCACACCGCAATCCCTTCTCCTCCGTTCTCCTCTTGGGATCTTGGGCAGGCATGCACACATGCCTGGCGTGAGTTTTAAGCCACTGTTTCCGGGATGCGAACCGCGGTCGACTACATTGAAGTCCAGCGACATAGCCATTACACTAACTGCTGGTCCCATGACTATGAAACTTTTGAGCCAATCACTTGAAACTTTAGTTCTGAGACAAACAATTTATATATTCCTAGTTATTCTCTGGGTCATCTCAGGATTTTAGGGAACAAAGTGATACATCATCTAAGCCTCATGTAACACTCCAAATTTTAACATGTTGCAGTAACACCATGTGTAATTTTTTTTTTTTTTGGAGAGATTTTCACTGTAGGGCGCGTGCGCTCGCCAGACAGACAGAGAGAGACATAGAGACAGAAAGCGAGAAATCACCCCCCAGGGGGGATGGTCACGCCACAATCCCTTCTCCTCCATTCTCCTCTCGGGATCTTGGGCACACACGCACACGCGCCCGGCGTGAGTTTTAAGCCACCGGGTCCGGGACACGAACCGCGGTCGACTACGTGGGAGTCCAGCGACATAGCCATTATGCTAACTGCTGGTTCCACCATGTGTAATTTTAAGACACCGTTTTTATTCAAATCAAAGTAATCATTTATAAAGTTTGTCATGTAGACGGTGGCCTTGGTGGGAGATGAGAGATCAGGTAGGTTGATCCCCCTAAGTGCTTGACTCTCATTCTGGAGAAAAGCCTTTCTGTTAACTCTGGAGGTAAACTTTGGGGAAGTCGTAATGCTGAAAATAACATGCGTCTCTTTCTAGGCGACTGGTAACATTCAATGAAGAGGAAGAAGGCAAGAACTGTAAAGCTGGGCCGAAGCCAGTCAGATTTCTGGGCCCCTCCACCAGCACTCAGATTAAAGTGAAGAACTCAACCTCAGTCATGGTGCCTGCAGCCGTCCCCGTCCAGACTTCCACTCGGGCCGCTGCAAACTGGTCCCAGTGCCGCAGGGGCGCCAAGACAGCCCCGCGGTCTGTGCAGCTGCAAACCTCACTCCGCATGGGTACTGGCACGTCTGGATCTTGTCAGGCTTCCTGTGGGGCAGAGGACACTGAGAATGGAACCACATCCCCACAGCTCTCAAAGGAGCTCTCCAGCAAGAGGCCCACAACCCAGCGAGTGATAAAGCTGAGGAGGACTCCGCTGTGTGCCCCGGCCCGCTCCCTGCCCACCTGCACCACAGAGGGGCCAGCCGGCTCCCCAGAGCCGCCAGGGTCTCCCCAGGTTCCCAGCGCTTTAGGCTCGCCGACTGAAAACGATGGATAAAGGGGTGAACTTGCAGCTTCCTGTGTGTCTCCCAGACCTTTCCACCCATTTGGTGCAATAAGTGACTCTCTTGGTGACAGAAAGGCGGAAACTTATTTCCATTTAAGATTATGGGGAAAATGAATCGTGTGAAGTGGGAAAAGAAGAGGGGAGATTTTAGGTGGTTGGGGCTATAGTTACTTCTCATTTCCGAACGTATTTTGAGAGATTTTTGCTATAGGGTGTATACCCTGGCTGGAAACACAGCAACCAAGAGACAGAAACGGGGACATCACCCCTCAGGGGGCATGGCCACGCTGTTCTCCTCCTGGGGTTGGGGGCACATATGAACATGAGCCCAGCTTGAGTTTTCAGTTGCCAGGTCCAGTACTGCCCATATGAGAGTCCAGCACCTTAAATTAACCACTGTGCCACCCGCTGGTCCTCATTTTCCGAACTTTCAAATTATTACTTGTCTAAGGACAGTTTGAATTGAATTTCTAGCCTACTTTTTTTTTCTTTTTTAAATGACTCCAAACAGTACAACAGAATAACCAACAAAGAAGTCCTCTTTGTTGCTGAAACAATGCAGATTCTAGGCACTGGCTGCAGCCCAGGGATAGGCTGAGGTTTGGGCCTTGATGTGTCTGTCTGGTGAGATGGAGGGTGATATTGGTGCTTCCCTGTACCCTATCAACCAGAGATTCAGGAGAGAAAACGCAGATCAAAGTGCGCTGCCTACAATTTACTCTCAGTCTTGGGAGACAAAATGAAAAGAAATGAGGTGGAGGGAAAAAGATCACCCTGTGACTCTCTTAATTGAACTGATTTCTTTCCTAGATTGGCTTTTCTTACTCTTTTCCATTAGCATATTTATTTATATACATCATAAGAGACTTTCCTGGGATGAGATATTGTTAAATATCTTATTTTTAATTTGAATAGTAAAATTTTGAAAGTACTTTGAAAAAGACAAGTAAAAGTTGAATTTTTTAACTAAAGTTAATGTTTGTTTTTCAGAAATGACCATTGAAGAGTCGTTTTTATGATGCAAAGTGATTTTTTTGTGTGCTATTTCTGCATAACTTGAGTTTAGTATTTTTAAACAATATATTTATTAGCCCTCTATTTTTTCATGACGATTCCATTGTGTGTGTTTCAGTGTTATGTTTGCAATTGGATCACAAATTTCTACCTTCAGTGAACACTATGCCTTTAGTGTGTTAAAAAATATGTCACAAAGCAGGGTACTTTTTACTCAAATGTTTATCACTGCACTTGCATTGCTTTAAAAGAATAAAGTCAAAACTTTACTTTTTAAAAAATAAAGTAAGACTTTTCTGTAAAAAGCGACATTATCTGTGACTATTCTTAAATATTGGAGCCCTAGAATAGTTTGAAATCTTGTCAGTTTATATAGGTATCTATTTCTGCTTGAAAAATTACTTTCTTGTCCAGACAATGTATGAAGTCAAACAAATTTTGATAGGTATCTATCTTCTAGTAACTGTTTAGATAGTTGGTTTTTTGACTAGGGAAAAATGATTACATAATTGAAGATCCATAATGACATTCTCCTGTAGAAAATATGAAATAGCTAGTCACCTTTGAAAATGCTATTATAAACAGACATTCTGAAAATCAAAAGACCACAGTGAATTTTCCAAACTACTAATCTGGACATTATTGGTATTTTAAAATCTTGGACATTTTGAGTTGCCAATTCATATAAGAAAATTTGATATTACTATATCGTAAACATTTATCCAGAAAGGAAACACGGAAGGTTAATCATTGTGATCTGGTCAACAGCCTCTGTTTCTTTGTATCAGATAGTTTACAGGAAATCTATTTAGCACACTTAGCCTTTTTTCTGTCTTTCTTTCCTTCTTTCTTTCCTTCTTTCTTTCTCTCTTTCTTCCTTCCTTATTTCTCTTTCTTTTTCTTTCTTTCTTTCTTTTTGTTTTTCCTATAGGGTGTGTGCTTATTGGAGGGAGACAGAGATAGAGAAAGTGAGAAATCACTCCCTGGAGGGGCAGCCATGCCACAATCCCTTCTCCAGTCTCCTCTCAAGATTTTGGGCATGCACGCGCGCGCACACACACACACACACACACACACACACACACACACCCGCCCAACATGATTTTCAAGCCACCAGATCCAGGACTTGAACTGCAGTTGACCATTTGGGAACCAAGCAGCTTAACCACCACATCACCTGCCAGCCCTAGAACACTTAGCCTTTCTAAGAAGAGTGTCCTAAGATAATCGGAGGCTGGTGTGGCTGAGGTGGGGAAGGTTTTCAGAGGTCAAAGTCAAATTCAGAATACTTGAATAGCTTAAACATTATTTGGGTATGGTTCCCTGGGGTCAAGTTAATTTTACATGAGGAAATATTTTTCTGAATACCAGATTCTGCAAACATAAAACAGTTGGTAACACATTTTAAGCCATTGCTCTTTCTGGAGAAAGAGGGTGAGGTGAAGAAAAAGTTGATAAAAAGTGATTTGAGAAGGTTTATGCAGTTGGATCAAGGAATACATAGAAATTCTTAATGACATGTAGAATATTTAAATACCACTCATAAAGTAGAGATAATTGACTGTGTCCATCCAAATAATCTGTGTTAAAAACTGGCTCACCTTGATAAAAACTGGTTAGATGTGTTGCGGAGAGCCTATGGTTGGCAACACAGACTGACTGAAAGATTTTTTATATAGTACCTGCTATTAGAATCTATGAGTATTTTCATATATTTTATTTCATGGCTTTTAAATTTCAGAACAACACACCATAATGAAGGTTTTCTTTCCTAATTCTTAAAGATTAGGAAAATGAGGTTCTGGGACCAGCAGGGGGTGTGGTGGTTAAGGTGTTGGATTCCCACATGACTGACCACAGTTTGAATCCCAGATCTGGTGGCTTGCTTTCTCATTTTCCCTCTCTCTCTGTCTCTCTCTCTGGTGAACATGTGTGCCCTACAGCCATTTAAAAAATAATAATAATAAATTCTTTAAAATAAAATCAAAATGAGGTTCTGAAAATTAATGGTGTACAAAGTCATCACACACACGTAATATAGTCCCATAACCTGTTTTCTGCAGAATGACGGAGCATCACTGATTAAAGGAAAAGTAGAGGGAGGAAATAAGTGCAAAAATGTATGAATTTGCTGAACATTTGAATGTTTTGAGCAGGAAAAGATTAAAGTATTGGATGATATGTCTGTCTCCTACTAGAAAGGGACTGTCACTTCTCTACCTGGAGTACCTATTGGGTTGTCAGGAAAGTCATGACACATTTTTGCATAGAAAATTACATCATGCCTTTCCTGATGACCTTATACAGTATACAATAGACCTTCAATAAATTTCTGAATAGTTAAGGACAATTACCTTTCCTCAAGTTATTTATTTATATTTTTAATTAGTTAATTAATTTACATTCATTCACTGAGCATTGTCACAGCATACAAAATGTGATTTCCCATCCAGAATATACTATTCAGTGGCCTAATCATACATGTTATTGTCGATAATTTCCATTTCTAGTTTCATATATAAATATGTACATATATTTTCCCCCCTATTTCTCACCCACTGCCATTTCCCATCCTCCTCCCACACTATCTCCGTTGCTTTCCATTCCTGCCCCCCCCCACATTTTATTGATATATTTCCCCCCCTATTTCTCACCCACTGCCATTTCCCATCCTCCTCCCACACTATCTCTGGTGTCTACCGTTGCTTTCCATTCCTGCCCCCCCCCACATTTTATTGATTCACAAGATTTCTTAAATAATCTAACTACTTTCAATAGCAAGTTCAGCTGGTATATACATATCTGTGAATACATGTCTGACTTAAGGCGTGAAACTCTGAGTAGAATGAATATACTATCAAGTAGCACCTAGCTAATGCTATATAGCATACTATGGTCATTAAGTAGGTATTTTTAAATATGTTTTTTATTTTCAAGAAAAGCAGTTTTAGCTTTAATAAATCAAAGAAATGCTAAGGAACTTTGTTTAAAACTTAAAGCCAGGAGGGAACCAGCAGTTAGCGTAATGGCTATGTCGCTGGACTCCCACGTAGTCGACCGCGGTTCGTGTCCCGGACCCGGTGGCTTAAAACTCACGCCGGGCGCGTGCGCGTGTGTGCCCAAGATCCCGAGAAGAGAATGGAGGAGAAGGGATTGCGGCATGACCATCCCCCCTGGGGGGTGATTTCTCGCTTTCTGTCTCTATGTCTCTCTCTGTCTGTCTGGCGAGTGCACGTGCCCTACAGTGAAAATATCTCAAAAAAAAAACAAAACAAAAAACAAACTTAAAGCCAGGAAACAGGTTAGGATTCTGTTCAAATAGGTAGATGAACCTATTGGCAGCTCAAGTCAGGACAATAATCCTTAAAACCGGAAAACATAGCCTAGAAGAAAATCAGCAATGTTTTAGTCAAAAGGCCTAAAATTCTACTTACCAGTTCAGTCTCATGTACTTAATCTATCTTCTGTTGTAGTTTGATCTTCCCAATTAAATTCTGGGGTATAATATTCAACTCCAGACTTGGCCATTTTCTTAGTAGGAGAATAGAGAAGGGATTGCGGCATGACCATCCCCCCTGGGGGGTGATTTCTCGCTTTCTGTCTCTATGTCTCTCTCTGTCTGTCTGGCGAGTGCACGTGCCCTACAGTGAAAATATCTCAAAAAAAAAACAAAACAAAAAACAAACTTAAAGCCAGGAAACAGGTTAGGATTCTGTTCAAATAGGTAGATGAACCTATTGGCAGCTCAAGTCAGGACAATAATCCTTAAAACCGGAAAACATAGCCTAGAAGAAAATCAGCAATGTTTTAGTCAAAAGGCCTAAAATTCTACTTACCAGTTCAGTCTCATGTACTTAATCTATCTTCTGTTGTAGTTTGATCTTCCCAATTAAATTCTGGGGTATAATATTCAACTCCAGACTTGGCCATTTTCTTAGTTTTTGAAGTTTTATTTCTGTGTGACTGTATTTTATTTTCCTGGTATAGCACTCCCTTGAGAACATCTTGGAGATGTGGTGTGGTGTTGGTAAATTCTTTCAGGTTTTGTTTATCTGAGAATGTTCTTGTCTTTTCTTCCCATATGAAGGATAATCTTGCTGGGTACAGTATTCTTGGTTGAAGTTGCTTTTCCCTTAACACTTCGAATATATTTTCCCATTCTTTCCTCGTTTGCATTATTTCTGATGAGAGGTCTGCTGTCGGCCTGATGGGATATCCTTTGTAGGTAACTCACCGTTTCTCTCTTGCCAATCTTAGTATCTTGTCTTTGTGTTTTTGGTCA